AGTTGAGGCGAGTTCTTAACAGATGTTTCCGTTTTTTTGACTTCCTTAATTTTTTGAAGTGTTTGAGAAGCCCCGATCAATATGTATTCGAACAAAAACACACTGAAGGTGAATTTCCTTGCTTATACAGTGACTTGTAGTAATTGTGTGTTACATATTAGATATATGACTTTCGACATGATAATCTCTAGGTTGAATTGATATATTTAGTAGCCTTCAATCATGTTTTTTTCTAAATTACTAAGTTGTTTGTTCCTCACAAATACCCCCTCCGTTCTTTATTGGTTGCAACATTTCCTTTTTCACGTTTGACAACGCACAACTTTAACTGTCATTAAATTTAACTCTCTATTAGTAATTTTTTTTAAAAATCAGATTATGAAACTTGGTAATGAGACGAATTCAACAATATTTTTCAAAAAAAATAATTCAGATACATTGAATTTTTAAAATGTAATCAAAGTAGAGTACATGAATAGTGTATAAATTCCATTGTCGTAGGATAGTAGCTTGCATGTTAACAGCCTTCAAGGTGCAAGCTCATGATTAGCTGTTATGGCTCTTAGTGGCGGATCTAGCCCTCATATTTTGAGTGTTCAAACTAACATTAAAATTATATTTCAAATGACAGTATTAATTTATGCAAGAATATTTATCCAAATGCATGTGTAATTTTCAATAAAAACTACAAAACGGCTAATAAATTATGGATATATTTTTTCAACAAAAGAATACTAAATTGTCAATAAATTAAATCAGCACTATGTTTTACTTTTATTGCTAATTTTTAAAAGATTTGAATTGCATTGATGCTGATAATCAAAAATACAATTCTCTCAAATGAGGCGGTCATTTAACCACTATCCCCATTTTGTTCTTTCATTTACCAAACATTCCGAAAGTACTAGTATTTTCTTTACAAAGAATTTCCAAACACTTCAATTTCAATAACAAAAAACATTAAGATATAAGGAGGTTTTTCTGTATGCTCATGCCCAACATGGCTAGTTAGTTGACCACTTGTCCGAGTACCACCGATCCTAAACCTAGTCATCGTTCTTCCGATCATCGTCTACTTCACACACTCATGTTAGGGTGGATATTTAGAGCATAGATTGCTAAATCAGAGTGAGAAGTTTGAAAGATAGATTTGCGTGATGATTTGGGCGATTGTTTTGTGAGACATATTGATTGGCACAATTTAATAATTCTTGTACATTGATATTTTTTTACAAAGTTTCATTTATTCATTCAAGTAGAACAGTGAAGAATAGAAGGAACTTTTTATATATGAGTTGAGGAAACTTGCAGCACCAAAGATTGCTAACAAAGTTTTGGTTCTCGTATCGATTCTCTAAATGAGCGTTTTTAGTGTTGTCTTTTAAGTTGCTAACAAATTCTATTATCCTTTACAAATCAACCGTATACTTATAGTTTGTAATTGATTTACATGAGCCCTCTACATTTGTAAATTTTAATATCGTGCTACTAGTAGAAAGGTCTTCAACTAGATCATGAACATTGTGAAAATTGAAGAAAACGTATCATACTAAATAATTTTGTGACACTTATCTATTTAGCAATGAGTGACACAAAATTTAGTGTCACTTACCCCCACTTTCTGTGACACTTTTTTAGAGTCATGAAAACTTTCAGTGATACTTTTTAGTGTCACTATATGCCATTTTTTACTAGTGTATATATCCCCTATTACAATTCTAGTGTTCCAAGAGATATTCATAAGCTTCTCTAAATTAATACCTAGAAGAATAAGAGAGCTCCACATTTTTCTGAACACTAGAAGTTTCGACAAGGTACTCTGGAATTTCACATCTCTAAAGAATTTAACATTTCATTTCTAGAAGTTTATAGATGATTCTAGGGAATTCCACACTTATTTAAAGAAATCCACATATTATACACTCTTTTACATGCTTCTTGAAATTCTGAACCTTTAGGGTATGTTTGGGAGTTTGGAGGAAAGAGGAGGGGAAGGCATTTGAGCTATGTTGTTGGAGGGGAAAGGAAGGGGAGGGGGAGGAAGTTCTTCTTTGTATTTGGGAGTAATAAAATTAGAAGGAGAAGGTTTTTGAAGGAATTATAATTAAAATCACTTTGAGGTATAACGAATTCAAATCATTGAGCTGATATTCGTTTCTAATTTAATTTAAATTACCATCTTGTTAATTATCCTCCAAAATCCTCCAAATTAGGGGAACTTAAGAATTAAGCATTTGGAGGGTTTTGAAGGGTTACAAAAGCCCTCCATTAACATGAAAAGGAGGGTCATAAATCCCATTAACCTTCCCCTCTCCTCCAAAACCCAACCCCCAAACACACCCTTAGTTCCCGCCTGGTTCGATTCTCTCGATTGTCTTTGACGATGAAGGAGCTCTCAATTCTCTTTCTCTTTATCCTTTATATTTGCCATGATCTGCGTTTTTACATTATATGTTGAGCTCATCCCCTCTTTGCCCACTAGTTTTCAAGTGTGAGGGGAGTGATATATACTTTTGATCGATAAAAGCGTTTAATTGAGACATGTTCACATCTTTGGGATGAGCATTTAACTATGTCATTGTTTTTTTCTAGAAATCATTTTCTTTTTCTTTGTTACTCCAACGTCTTGCACACACAATTGGAACTTATAATTTTGAGGGCTTAAGTAAACTCCACTTTTTTTAAAATTCCTCATGTCATAACCTTTCAAGTTCAACTTTGACTTTTGTTTCTCGTAACCCATCTCACGAAGCATTGAAGCTCTGTTGTCCCATATGGCCTTATTTCTCAACTAGGGATTCCCGATGCATAAGGTGTCTAGAGGTTTTGTTGGTTGAGTTTATATGGTATAATTTGGCACGGTTCCTATGCTTTAAATGGGGTAAAAGTAGTCGTTCTTTATAAAATGACATTTTGAGGAATTCATTGTACGCATTAATTCACACGCCTAGTTTACTTTAGTTATAATTGTTTGGCGCGGGCGAGATCAAAATCGGGTAATGTAAAAAAATTGGCTAGCTTGACCTCTTATTTTTTGAAAAAGAGAATTGTAAGAACTGGTTTCCAGCTCAGATCTCAGCTTTTTATCCACAAAGGGTACCAATTTCACCACTAGAATCAACAAAGGGAGATTATGGGCAACAACCAACAAGGTTTTCCGGCCAATTCGTCTGAGCACCCACAGAGAGGCTATAGGTGCGAAAAAGGGGGAGAGGCTAGGGTTCGGCCAACATATGCGTCCATCGGCAGAGAGGGAAGATTATATAGGCGAAGTGCAGAAGCAAAATATGGTAACTTGCCTTAGAAAAAGATACACAGTCAATGGCGCACAAGGAAGGAAGGTAACGCAATAGGAAAGTTGATCGGTAGAGAAGATCAAAAGAGGGGCCAGGAAAAACCAAGTGTTAAAATGGGCTGGGAACCACCTCAATTGAATTGGGCTTACAGAAATACCGGACCAATACCTAACAAGAATGGATGAAATAGTCAAAAAGCATATGAGTTTATAAAATAAGATAACACTAGGAGATCTATCGGAAGAAACAAATTTCTTGTATGAACATGACAGAGAAAATCAACGAGTTAATTGGATCTTGAAGCTTTTTACATTCATGCACTATTTGTAACGACGTTTTAGCGTAGTTCAGATATACATCATAGTATCACTTTACAATGATGATTTAGCTTAGTTGTGTACACACATGCTTGCTCTTTGCACAGACGTATCAGATACTCCAAATAGAATTTTGGTTCATACCTCACTCCTCTTAGAGATAAACTTGAAAGCACTTGACTCACCAAGACATCATATTAATGTTTATAGTTCATGGGAAATTCTTTCACTCACCCATTTACCGCAAAAGACCTTAATTAGTGCTCGTAAGATATCATTGTCAGCTGCTTCTATTTGGATAAAGGAATAGTTGTGTACTTGTGTTGTGTGATTCATTTTTCATAAATCTAAAAAAGAAAATGATTTGCAGGAAGTCTTTGCTTTGTGTAAATGTTCGCCCTCAAGATGTGATCATTGCTTAGGTGAAAAGTGAATAACACATGAAAAACTTCCTGTTGGATTAAAAATCTTGAGTTCTAAAACTTGTATTCAAATTTTATTCACAATGTATTAAAGAATAAGTACATATTTCATATTCATTAACATTGCCAACTTCACTTTGAAATAGTGTAGTATTTGATTTGATCACGTCGTGCTATATTTCGTTTCGCTTCTAGCATTTTATAACTCGTTGGAAAGATGTTATCGAGTCTAACACCCGTATTCGGACCTCCCTTACAAATTATTATAGGATAGGTAGGCATTACTAAAAGTTGAATATCATTACCGATTTGGCTCTGAAAAGGTGTAGTATTTGACTTGATCATTTTTTTTGTATTTTGTTGTGTGTTTAAGCGTATTCTATTTCATCGGAAAAGTCATTTCGAGTTCTAAAACTCATATTCAGGATTTTCTTAGTTTGCCACTTTGTTGAGTCCTCTTGTGAAGCTTTCTGAAATGAGCAGAAATAGGTGGAGGGAGATGGGGTCCGCTTGTTTAACCCCTTCTTAGGCTGGAAAAATCCTTTGACCTGTCCATTGACTAAAATTGAGAGGTGGGTAGATTTAAGTGAATGACTGTGATTGAAGTCAATTTTTCCTAGGACTGCTGCCTCTAAGGAACTTCAGGATATTCTATCAAAGGTTTTGGTTATGTCAATTTTTATAGCTGCTTTGTTTGCTCTGACCTTTTTGTCTAAGACGTGAATGAGTCTTTAGGATATGTTGGTGGATATCTTGCCCTTGAAAGAAACCTATTTGCTCGGGGAGAGATAAGGTTTAGAAAGACTGATCTCATTCTGCTTGAAAGGATCGTTGATTCGTTGAGAAGACTTTATTAACAAAGTTTGAGAGGTGTAAACCCACTTCAATGCATGGTAATTGGTAAGTACGCTAGTAGGCAACCTTATTCAACAAGGGTCCCTTAAAACATGAGGTGCAAACTATACTCTATCAACCAATTTTCATTATCATGAAATTTAATCCTAAGTGAACTGTCTACTTGACTACTTGTCATTGGTAGTCTAAGGGTGTGATGCATCCTCCTTTTTTTATCAATGATGAGAAAAGGGACATAAAGGTATAAAACTACATATGTACCTCATATTCAGAGCAAAAGGTAACTTCATATATACAAAACTAAAAACATAAATTACAGATAGATACAACCCTCCTAGAACATAGTCAAGGTGCAGTGGTGCACTTTGTATCTTAAGATTTGGTGTCATAGAACATCCAGAATTACATGCATAATCTATGTATTATGCATTCTGATCAACTCATCTTCCCCGCAGTCTCTAAAGCCAATTACCAGTGTTTTGTTAACGGGCAAAGAAATGTCACAGCAGTGGCGACGAGGTGTCTTCAGCTGAGTTAAGAGAAACAAGTCAGTTCAGTCAACTAATTTAATGAAACAGAGGAGTTAAATATGGATTCTTAAAAACCTGTCCAACATCAAAATTCGATCTCCAGGAGAAGACTTTGACATCAACCAAATCCTTGAGTGTACCATTTCTTTCACAACTCAAAACATTGGTGTGCCTTGTGTAGGAAGTCCAAGATCCATTTGCTTGAGAAACAACATCATGTAAGTAGAAGATAACAGGCATTTCACATGGATCGCCACTTGGGAATTTTCTGGTGTTGAACATATAGTAATGGCTTGAAGAAACCTTAGTAACCCTCCTCTTCCTCCATGGTATGAATGTTCTTTGCATTTGGAGGAGATCTGGCAGAAGGAGATTCCCTATGTACACCTGAACAGAATAACCCCAAGCAACTGAAACAGTGATTGAGTTGGAATGGTCATAACAAACACTTTGCTGCAATATCCGAGCCGAATCAACACGTACAGCTTTGAAAAGATGTTCAATGGCTTGAATTCTGGACATATTTGGAAAGATTGGTTCAACTTTATCCAAGTGATGAAGTGATGCTGCTAATGATAGTGGATGTGCAGAAAGGATGCCAAATATATCCCCCCTAACATCAATCTGTCAATAATTAATTAAAGAACATTCTAATTAAACCACATACAACCTTATTTTCTAGGCTCTTAGTTTTAGCATCTTTTCTCAGATAGTTTGTAAATAATGAGCTTGCATTGAATAATGGAACCAAGAAGGAAATAAAGTAGGTACTAGCCCATAGAACAGACAAATTTTCTCTGAACATGGTTTCAACAATTCAACGCTTTACATACCATAAAGCATTAAGCATTACAGAGACAAACCCAAAAGTTCTAGAAATTTAATATAGCAGAAACTTAAGTGATCAAAGTACTTACCAAATAAGAGAAAAGAGAAGTTTAAAGTTGAGAGCTTTACCTGATGGAAACCCAATTCACGAGTCAAACTGACTCCAAGCTCAGTCAAGCAAGCAAAAATCCTGCTATCACTGCCATACACATGTGGATACCTAACCAAACAAGAATCCAGAACCCTAGCTAAAACCCTAGCCAGAGGAGCACTAATCGCGAAGCCACCCCCTCCAAACGCCATATCAAACGAGTGTTTCTCGTTCTGCGCGTAACTCTCGGAATTGCACCCAATGTAATACCACTTCTCATCGTCGTACTTGGACAGGATCCTCGCCACATTCTCCACGAAGAACAAAGTATCATCGTCCCCGAATACAAACCAACGAATGCCGGAAAAGTCGAAACCGGAGTTCAATTCGAGGTCCAAAGTGTCTCTCACGATCCGAGCGACTCGAATTGCTGATCTCTTACCGGAAGGGAAGGTGTAAGGGAAGCGCGAAGTGTCAGAGGAGACAAATACTGGCGGGCCGGGTATGGAGTGGTTGCGGTAAGCGTTATCGAGGAAAACGACGGCGTTTGTGGAATTCGGGTTGTACCAGAGGCGGAGGTAAGGCGTGCGGAGAGGGAATGAAGAAGAGGAGCCGGCGATGGAAAAGAGAATTTGTGAGAGGGAGAGGTGGCGCTCGGCGGCGGGGATAGCTTTGATGGAAGAGGAGGTGGTGGTGGGAGTTGGGGTATGGTGGTGGAGAGAGTGGAGCAGGTAAAAGATGAAGAGAGTGGAAAGGAGGAGGAGAAGGTCTTTGGATCCGGCAAGGTGACAGAGGATTCTGCAGATATTCACGTGCATAGCTTCTTACAAAACTCAGGACTGAAATGGCAGTTCATTGATTAATACACTCCGGAATCGCAGAGGGAATGGAAATCTGGAATCGCCGGCAACCATTTCGCCGGAAGGAGGAATCCTGAATCGCCGGCAACCTACCCGTTAAAGATGTTATTCTCAACTGTTTTTCAGGGTCATATTTGCATATCTTTTGCACGTAAGATAAGATGTACCCACATTAACTTCCATGTTAAAGAATTAAACTACTGAATTTTTTGTTTATAAATAAACGTACAGCTGTATCAACTACTACCTCCCTCCCTTACAACTTTAACAAAGTTGACCGACACGAAAAATAATACATAAAAATTGTGTGGTTGAGATTTGTGCAGATAAGAGAGAAATAACAGAAACCACACAATAATTAATTAAAAAAGAAAGTGACAAAGTTTTTTGGGACGTCCCAAAAAGAAAAGATGACAACGTTTTAAGGAACGGAAGGAGTATCAATTTGGTTATATGATACTCCCTCCGTCCCATATTTAACTCCGGTTTTGACCGGGCACGGGTTTTAAGATAGTGAGATTTGTGTGGTGGAGAATTATGCAGAGGGGAGAGAAATGTGTAAGAATGGTTGTGAACCACCTATTCTTTACCAAAAAGGGAAAAATGAGATAAATTTGGGACAGACCGAAAAGGAAAGAATGAAGATAATTCCGGGACGGAGGGAGTACTACCTCCGTCTCGGTGAACTTTGCCAAGTGCAAAGTAGGTGAGAAATAAGAATAATAAAAACTGTGTGGTTGAGATTTGTGCAGATGAGAGATAAATGTGCAGAACCACAAATCAGATGTGATGGAGTATATGGCCCGGAAACCCCCGGCCCACAGACTCCTACTACCCCAGCGAAGGCCCAAAAGGCCCAACAGGCCCAAATCACAGCACCCAGAGTACCAAGCAGCCCGCACTACGCGCCAGGGGTGCCTTCGGCCCCCTGGCCGAAGGCTCCAAGTTCTCACAGAACGGGTTTCTCAAGCAAACTAAGAAACTGGGAGAAAACGGCGAAAACAGTAGCCCTCGGCACTGTGAGCCCTCGGCACCAGGGTGCCATCGGGTGGAAGAGCCCTCGGCTACTGCTCTATAGCCGAAGGCATCTCACTCGACAAGATATCCGCCTCACATGCGTACCTATCACCGTACTCTGCACAGACGTCCCATCCAACAGCCGCATTAAATGCGGCCACATGCGGCTGCCAGCGCCAACCAGTTGAGGTGACCCCTCGGCCAATGAGCGCTTGACACGTGTCCCTGCCCGGCATTTATTGCTGCTATAAATAGCACCCCATTTCCTCATTTGTAACCACGCTTAATACATATCGAATATACACTCTCTCTCTTACTCGTTTGCTCTGACTTCTCTCTAAGTTATTCCCCGTAATAACCCTTCGGATATATACCCCCGGGTAGACTATCCATCATTTGGTGCTCTCGTTGAGAGGTTGAACAATCGAGTGAGAAACCCTCCCCCTCGACCAAACACACAAACACTAGCCCTCTATCAAAATGGTGAGGACAACACGTGCCAACTCAAAGAACGTAGAAGACAAGAACCTGGCCCTCGGCGACGTCAACGCCCCCGAAGCCTCTCACAGGGCTCCCGAGGGCGGTGTCCTCGCTGAGCTGGAACAGGCGGCAGTCGACCTACGCCTTCAGATCCAACAAAACGCCCCCGATGCCCGCCTTGGCATCGAGGCCAAGAAGAAAAACCGGAGCGATGACCAAGTCAGCCCTCCGGTTCTCACCATCGACGTACAATCGGCGCTCTCCGCCTTCATCCAAACGCTCACCCAAAACCCGGGTGCCTTCGGCACCCTGGCTCCAGCTCACCCTCAGATCGGGGAAAATATCATACTTCCCCCTCTGCCACACCCCTTCGGAAATCCCATCCCTCGGGTGAGAAACGACGAAGGGGTGGTGGCCCAAGAAACATCCTCCCAGGAAGTTCAGTCCCGGGACCGCCATAATGACAACAGGGAGAGGCCCCGTACTTCCGCCCTCAACCGGCTCGGAGGAGGGCCAGACCGCCGAGGGGTCCAAGACCGCCTCGGGGGGAAAGCACTCCAGAGGCCCCAGGAAAGCGGGGGCTCTGTTTCGAGGGCAGACGAGGAGTGTCCCCCTCGGGACAAAGGCAAGGCACCCCTTCATGCCGATGATGCTCGGCACCAAATCAACCAGGCCCACTCGGCCCGGGTTCGTTCGCAGGGGGCGGAAACCCTCCCAAGGGACCCCCGGGACGAGATTATTGCAGCCCTCCAGCGTCGGCTTGACGAAATGGAGTCCAACAAAGCTCACGCCACCACCTCCACCCCTCACTCAGATCTCAAATACGAGGCCATGATGGCCAAGATGGAGGAGTTACAGAAGAAGGTGGCCGAGGGCTCCGGGGAACCCGTCATCCAGCTCCGGACTCGGACGCCATTTACCCCAAGGGTATTGGCGGCCCGGATCCCGGAGAAATACCGAGGGCAACACATACAGCCCTACAGCGGGAAAACGGACCCCCAGGAACATTACAGCAAGTACCAGAACAGCATGATGATGGTGGGGGCGTCAGACGAATATTTGTGTCGTTGGTTCCTCTCCACCTTAGAGGGACCAGCATACGAATGGTTCAACAGGCTGCCCGAGGGCTGTATTGATTCATGGCAAGAACTCGCCCAGCGGTTCTTGACACAATTTGCCGGGAGGCGTCGCACAAGGAAGCACTTCTCCCACCTCCTAACAATACGCCAGAAAAAGGATGAGACCCTTCGGGATTTCCTGGAGCGTTGGAGGACGGAGGCCGACAAGGTCGACGGTGCTGACGACGGGACCCTCCTGGCCCTCCTACAAACCGTCCTCCGCACCGGCAACTTTTCAAGGAGCCTCATCATTGAACCCCCCCGCGACTACATAAGGGCCTTGCAGCGGGAGGACCGATATGCTGAGGCCGAGGAGGTGGAGAAGTATCACCAGCATCCGGACCAGCAGCCCCCGAGGGCTGACAACAAGCACAACCGAGAGCCGGGGGCTCCTCCAAATCGCCCCAAGGCTTCGGGACCCTCTGATGACCGCCCTCGGCAAGGCCAAGCCAAGCCCGGGGGAGGTTATAGGAGCAACCCTAAGACTTGGGCCCAGCCCATTCTCCTGGACCGCCCTCGGACCCCATTGACGCACCCCGTCAGCATCATCCTCGATTTTGCAGAGGAGAGGGGCCTCGTTGAGCGTGATTCTCGCGCACCCCCGGAGGTACACGCTATCAACCCTCAGTTCCCCTACTGTCGCTTCCATCGACACCAGGGGCACAGGACCGATGACTGCCATCAACTGAAGACGGCCATCGAGAGATTAATACAGGCAGGGCACCTGTCCCAGTTTGTCCAGAGCCCTCGACAGGAGGGACCTTCTCATCAGGGACCCCCCCGAGGGCACCATACGAAGGTAAATGCCTGGGTGAATCTGAACACCATCCCCCTCGGCAAAAAGAGGGAGATCGGAAACTTGGAAGAAGAGGAGGAGGAGTACCCCCACTACCAGGAAAAGAAACGCCACACCCTCATGATCACCGGTGGCAATACAGGGGGCGATTCCACCAGCCAACGAAAGAAGTGGGCTCAATCGCTTTACGTGGGGGAAGTCACTCATATGCCCCCGGTAAAGCGATTGAGGGAGGAACCCATCACCTTCACCAACGCAGATCTCCCTCCTACTTCTTCTCCTCACAGGGATGCTTTGGTGATTCGAACGGAGATCAACGACACCATTATTCACCGAACTTACATTGACACGGGCAGCTCCGTCAATGTAATGTACCTCAGCACCTTCAGAGAGCTGCACCTGGAGAGGGGGTCCCTTCGGCCCATTAAGACCCCTCTTGCAGGCTTCACCGGTGATACTATTGATTCCGAAGGGGTAATAACCCTCCCGGTGATCTTCGGCGACGGGCTCCATAGAGCCCAGCTCGAGGTGGAGTTCGTCGTCGTCAACATTGACTGCGCCCACAACATCATCCTCGGCCGGCCGGCCCTCGAGGACCTCGAAGCCATCATCTCCATAAGGCATCTCTGCCTCAAGTTTCCCGCCGAGGGGGGCATTGGCTACTCCCGGGGGAACCAAAAAATTGCCCGCGCCTGCTATCTTCAGGTCACTAAGAAGGTAAGCAAGACGGAATTCCGTGTTGACACCATCACCGGAGCCGTCGACCAAGAGGAAAGAAGGCCGAGGGCTGAACTGGCCGAGGACGTAGAAGACTTTGCGCTCGATCCAGCCCAGCCGGAGAGAGTCGTGAAGATTGGAGCCCAGCTCCCTGAAGATTTGAAGACCGGTATCACCGACGCCCTCCGCGCCTACTCCACTGTCTTTGCATGGGGGCCGGAGGACATGCCGGGAATCAGCCGAAGGGTCATCACCCACCGCCTCTCGGTGGACCCTTCGGCAAAAGCAGTACAACAACGAAGGAGACCCCTCTCCGCCGAGAGGAGGGAATTCGTGAAGAAGGAGGTCGCCATGCTCCTCTCAATCAAGCACATCAAGGATGTGAAATACCCCTCATGGCTGGAGAATGTAGTCCTCGCACAGAAGCCCCCTACCTTCCGCATGTGCGTGGACTACACTGATCTCAACAAAGCATGCCCTATGGATCCATTCCCTCTACCAAACATTGATCAATTGGTGGATGAGACCGCAAGGTGTGAAATCATGTCCTTCCTCGATGCCTTCCGAGGGTACCATCAAATATTCATGCACGAGGAGGACGCCGAAAAAACTGCCTTCATGACTCCCGAGGGCATCTTCTGCTACCTAGTGATGGCCTTCGGCCTATAGAACTCGGGGGCCACTTACACCCGGATGGTGGCCCGGGTTTTTCAAGCCGTCCTAGGGCGCACCATGGAGGCCTATGTCGACGACATGATTGTCAAGAGCAAGCAATCTTCCAGCCATGCTGACGACCTCCGGGAAATCTTCGCCATCATGCAAAAATTCAACCTTCGACTAAACCCGAAGAAGTGCACCTTCGGCGTCCAAGGGGGCAAATTCTTAGGCTACATGGTGAGCCGGAGGGGTATTGAGGCCAACCCCGAGAAGATCCAGGCCATCATCAATATGGAGCCCCCACGCAATGTGAAAGAAGTCCAACGGTTGACGGGCCGCCTGGCAACCCTCAACCGTTTTCTATCTAAATCGGCGGAGAAATCTCTACCC